GTGTGTAGTGTTGTGTGTAGTGGTGTGTAGTGTTGTGTAGTTGTGTGTAGTGTTGTGTAGTGTGGGACGTCCAGCTGAGCTCACGGTGTCCTCTGATTGGACGTTTCACATTTCGTCTCTTTTTGTTTTTATTTGAACAAAGTTGCGGGCAGCACGGTGGCGCAACTGGTAGAGCTGCTGCCTCTCAGCGAGCAGGTCCCTGGTTCAAACCCCGGTCCAGGGGCCTTTCTGGGTGGAGTTTGCATGTTCTCTCCGTGCATGCGTGGGTTTTCTCCGGGTACTCCGGTTTCCTCCCACAGTCCAAAAACATGCATGTTAGGCTGATTGGTAACTCTAAATTGTCCCTAGGTGTGAGTGAGAGAGTGAATGGTTGTCTCGTTTGTCTCCATGTGTCCCTGTGATGGACTGGAGACCTGTCCAGGGTGTCCCCCGCCCCTCGCACAGTGATTGCTGGACATGGGCACCAGCGACCCCCGTGACCCAAAATGGAATAAACGGGTAAAGAAAATGGATGGATGGATGGATGGATGGATGGATGGATGGATGGATGGATGGATGGATGGATGGATGGATGGATGGATGGATGGACAAAGTTGAATATTTTAAAAGTTTCTCTCGTTAAAGTCAAATCTTTGAATCCACACGAGCTCTGGTTTTATTTTGTTCCTCCTCCTTTAAAGTGTTAATTTATTATTTTTGGTTTTTCTTCTTGTGTCGCTCCTTCAGATTGTTTTTTCACTTAAATTATGATAATTTCACCTTTAAAGTAATAAAAAACATTTTTAAAAAATTATTTTACAAAAATATGTCAAACGTTCATGAAAACATACAAAGAAGAATAAACGTCACAGCTGACGTGATTGTTCTAGATTCTAATATTGACATTATTTATTTTCTGATATTTTATGGCTGTTTTGAAAACAAACGATCTGATGAAGAATTTACATCAATAAGTCTGTTCTCACATTAATAAAATATTCATATAATAAATTATAATTAATAAAATAATCTTATTTATAAACATATGTCACTTCCTGCTACACGCAGCTGAATGATCTTAATGAGCGCTGAAGAACAGCTGATATTTGCTGAAAGCAGGAAAATAAAAGCTGAAAGCAACAGAAAAACAGCTGAAACAGCAGAAATGTAGCTGAAATGAGCAGAATGAGGTAAACTGGGCAGCGCAAGGCTGAAAATATTTTTAAATCTGAAATTAGAAAAAACAGCTGAAAAGGCTACAAAAAAAACAAAAGACAGAAATTTGTTCACAAAATAACTGAAAAAAATCTAAATTTAAAGACAATAATCTAAGTAGCAGAAGAAAATGAGCAGAATGAAGCTTTAAGAAGCTTAAATGTAGCAGAATCACCTGGATTAGACACAGAAAGGCTGATTACAAACAGCTACAATTAGAAAAAAGGAGCTGATAAAGTTAAAAAATGCTGAAAGGAAAAAGTTTAAGGCAGATTTTAGCAAAAAGGCTGAAAAAAAAGGCTAAAATTAAATGAAAAACACCTAAAAAGTAGCTGAAAAGGCAGAATATATATATGAAATTTGTAATTAAAAAAAAGAAGCTGAAAGAAGCAAACGGCTGAAGAAAAGCTTAAAATGAGCAGATGAAGGTTGAAAACAGAACAAAGCGCTCCGTTCATTGTCAAGAGACAAACATGGCCGACAGAGCTAAACACTTCAAGCACTAAAAACTTCACAAAACACAAAAGTCACAGCAGAACGTCCCGAACGAGCCGAACGTTTTGATTTACAACGTGAAGAAATAAATCTCAGTCGCGGGAACGATTCATGAACCACGGAGTTATTCTAAAATTAAAGTTTTTACCTCCTGAGCCCAAAAAACTAAACCTCAGACTTTTTCTCGTTAACGTCCAAACATGTCAGTAAAAAGCAGATTTAAGAACAAACAGGTTTAACAACTTTACTTTTTAAACCTGCTGTAGCTCTTGTACCAATAAACGATCAATATCGATCTGGGGATTTTAATTAATTTCACAATATCTGGATCAAACCAATTCAAGATGGCCGCCACAGCCTACTGGTCTGAAACTTTAATTCTGTTAATTTTGGGGATAATGAGCTGAAGCTTGGTGTGGTAGTAGCTGAGGCCGATCCCCAACAGATCCTCTGAGCTCCAACAGATCACATGTGAACTTTGTGGCGGGCGACATGCATTCCTTCACACGACAGCGACTTTATAATTTATTAAATCATCGGTTTAAACAAATAAAATGACTAAATGAGCTCCTATTCGTTAGTAATATCGGTTATTCCCCGATAATCGATACAGCCAGCCTACAGGTGACCCACAACAAGTCAGTGTCCTTGAACGCACCACCGCACTTCTTGACTTGAGTCGTGTGCGTCGCGGTGATAATTAGCTAAAGGCAGGGTCATTGAACGCAACATGTTGTATTAAAAACGTCTTACCGACTGGCATCCCGGTTCTGGTGGATGTACCGCAGCCCCCCCTCCTGTGTGCGCCCGGCAGCTTCGACGGTCCGGTCCGGTTCGTCAGTTAGCCTCCATGTAGCCTCTCGTCACCTGACAGCGGCTCTGAAACACAGAACCACCGGTCCACCTCACTGACAGCACGGCTCCACGGGACACCGAGCCCGGGGAACGGTCCGAACCGTCCCGGGTGGGTTTAACCGAACTGACACCCGCCGGGACGGGCTAACGGAACCAGGGGGACGTTAATGAGCGCGGTTCGGTTGGACACATACCTGTAAACAGCGGCGGATTACCTCCCACACGCTCCCGCGGCGCTTCCTGCTTCTCCGTGACAGACAACACGGAAGTGCTGCAGCTGCCGAAACGCACGCGCCAAAACATATGGTTCCTGAAAGTAGACCGCGCCGGGGTGCGGCTAATTCCTGCCGCCTGAGTCAAGGTGTTTTTTTTCATTTTTTCATTCAACCTTTATTTAAACAGGTAAATCACATTGAGCCTCGAGGACTCATTTACAAGACAGACCTGATTTAACAAAGAGTGATGACAACAATGGACAGGTATAAAAAGGCATAAAGATTTTTTTTTAAATTATTATTATTATTTTATTTAAAATAAGGTGGCAAAAAAAGTAACAAAAACAGCTGTTTGAAGCCACTTAGAGAGGTCAAAGGTCGAGAGCTTCAAATCTTTTTACAAGATATTCCAGGAAACAGGAGCGGAGTAGGAGAAGGTCCTTTTGTCTAGTTCAGTCCTCACTGAGGGAACACTGCAGGTAATGATGTCCTGAGAGCGCACGCTGTAGCTGCACTCACACAGAGACATGTAGGAGGAGATGTATGAAGGCAGCAGACCAGGAAGTGATTTAAAGATGAAGATGTACCAGTGGGAGAGTCTGTGTGAAGTTAATGGGGACCAGTTAACCAGTGGATACTGGGTGCAGTGGTGGGTACGGTAGTTACAGCCAGTTATGAATCTTAGTGCACCATGATAGACAGCATCCAACATCTGCAGCATCCAACATCTGCAGCATCCAACATCTGCAGGGTTCTTGTAGGAGCCTTCATGTAAATAATGTCACCGTGATCAATGGAGGGAAGGAAAGTCACAGATACAAGGTGTTTCCTAACATTCAGAGTTAGACAGGATCTGTTTCTGAAAAAGAAACCCAGTTTAACTTTCAGTTTCTTTACCAAGTTTTCCACATGGAGCTTAAAAGAGAGATGTGAGTCGACCAAGATACACAAATATTTATAGGAATCAACAAACTCAATGAGGACACCATTTGAGGATAAAATGGGAGGAAGAACTGCTGGGACCGACTTCCTGTTTGAAACAAGCATCCCTTTGGTTTTGTCAGCATTTAGGACAAGTTTGAGGTGAAACAAATCAGATTGGATGATGTAAAAAAAAATAAAAACTCTTCTTTCGGCTGCTCCCTTCTTCAGGGGTCGCCACAGTGAACTAAGTCGCACGAATGTCAAATGCAGATTGCAAAAGCTGGAAAGCCTTATCAACTGTTTTAGCTCTACAATAAACAACTGTGTCATCAGCATAGAAATATAAGGATGTGTCAAGGATGCTCTGACCTACATTACCTATGTAGATTGTAAAGAGGGCGGGTCCTAAGACTGAGCCTTGTGGTACACCATTGTACCATTATGTTGAACACATTGCCTCCGGTCTGAGAGATAGTTAGATATAGTTTTACTGTAACACGTTCAACTCCACTTCTTTAAACAAATAAATTAATATTTTTAATATAGGGGCTGTGTTTTATATACAGTTGAGAATGGTTGATCAAATGAATGTTAACCTTTGAAAATTATTTTAGAAAAAATGTATATATATTTCAAACGTGGAGCTCAGAGTATGCGTTTTGAAGGACTTTCAGCTACAACCACACCAAATTTTAGCTTTATATCTGCAACTTTAGCTGAACTGTTATATTTAGTGTTTTATGAGGTCATTGGCTGTGGCAGCCATCTTGAATTGAGTTGGCTCCAGAGGTTAATGAACTCCCAAAGACTACAAGTTTCATTAAAATCCCTGATATTTAGCTAACAGATGGAGTTGATCTGGCAGAGTGTTTGGGATGACTTGGCTACTACCAGGTCAAATTTATTCTCCATGTTTGAGTTATATTGAGACATTTTTCAAGTGACTGTGGCGGCCATCTTGAATAACTGGTGACTCCATGAGTTGTGGAAATATTTTCCATTTAAAACTTTAATTTTGTTTGTTTCATTAATTCATCCAGCTGGTTGTGACATATTTTGCTAACAGCCACATGAGCACACAGGTGGGCAGCCGGTGATAATAAGCAATTATCTTTTAGAAATGGCGATTTTAAAATGGAATACGGTAAAAAAATAATAATAATAATAATAACTGGGACCCTATTCTTATTTTATCTATTGCTATAATCAACAAATTCCATATTTTTCCATTTTCCACACAGTTTAAGAACTTGGAAAATGTAAAACCTGAATGCAGTCAGACTAAAACTGCATTGAAAGAAATAATATTTATTTAGCTCTTATTTTTGTGTAAGACAGAATAACATGAGGCATTTCTCAACCCAGATCAACACACCTGGTTTGTATTAATGGTTCGTCAACAGACTTCCTGGGATTCAGGACTGACTGGCCCTCAGGACCTGGAGGACTAAAGGAAACACTGGTCTATGGGGAGTGTTTATATAATAAGACACTGGTTATAATGGGTGTCCAGTCCTGGTCCTCAAGAACCACTATGTGTATTTAAACCCACGGGTGATTAACAGACTTCTGCAGAACGAGGCGATTTAACCATTGAATCAGGTGGTGGAGCAGGAAACAAGTCAAACAGGATAGTGGCCCTCGAGGTCTAGGATTGGACACCCCGGGGTTAGAATACCCCGTATCATCCCACACAAACATGTTCCTGATGCTGCTGAATAATCCAGGTAGATAATCTAAGCAGGTGGAGTCAGGTCCTCTGGACAGATTCTTCTAGTTGAAATGTTTATTTTTTTATCCAAAGGACTTCTTCAGTCTGAGGAGCTGCAACAAACTCAATCTTATAAATAGCACCTTCTCATGGTGGATCAACCAGTTTGATGTTGACATCCAGAACTAGCTGTTCACATGATCAAGGAGTGATGCACATGATCAGCCTAGCGACTGATCGTTAGTGCCCTGACAATGTTCCTGTTTACCACCAGCTCTGAAAACAGGTTTTAGTGCGTGAAGGTGGAGTAATAAGGTTTGTGCATGTGTTTGTTTGGCCAAGCATCTCATGGATCACTGAACACATTTTAATGAACGAACATGTACAGCTGGTTATATTTGGGACTCGACCTGATTTAAGATGCACCAAACAGTCGATTATTCAGGTTCTGAGCTAAAACTGATAAAAACACTCCCAGTGAAAATCCTTTAATGTTGTCTGAGATCATGTCACTTCCCAGGTTTGTCTACAACTCCATCACCATCAGAGGACTTTCAAACTTTGGCTTGTCGATGTGCATCCCTCCAGGGACTCCTACAGCCTTAACGAACTGTTGTGCCTTAAACGCATCACCGTTTCACTCGTCACTGCTAACGATGGCAGCTCTTTGATCTTTTCCTCCGCTCTTTGACACTTTCCTGCTTTACAGTTGGTATCTATTAATTACTGAAGCTTCTTGTCTCTTTATGTATTTTTCCCACATCGCCGCAGTTTAAATACCTCTGCACTGAATTGCAGTGTATATAACTTTATGAGCGCGCTGTCAGGGTAATAAAGGAGACAAATAGGCTTTCATTACCACTAATGATTGTCATTAAAGTCAACTCAGAGACACAAATGTTCTGCAGACGGCAATTATCCTGAGCTAGATTAAAAACAAAATAAACCCTCGTGGAGTTGATGTGTAAATGTTGGTGAAAGTGTCCCGTTTGTGCTTTTTAAGCTCTTAAGGACCTTTGCTGCATGGACCGGTGGACTTAAGGGTGATTAAAGGCTTGGACCGCGCAGATGGCATGTCAGGCGCGATAAAGTCTGAGTGGCAGCGGTTGGCAGCGCCCCGACCTGATGGGCAGGAGGAAATCAACAAACGCTTCTGAAAAAGTTCACGTTAGAGTAATTACTGTAATGCACGAGACACGGCTCCAGTGTACGGCGTGGCTAAACCCAGGATTAAACAGAAGAGGGACATGTGTCCATATGTGGACATGTATTGAACAGACAGCAGCAGCTGATTCGTGTCAAACTCGGGAGATGTTCAAACAAAAAGGTTAAACCGTGTGAATGTTTCTCAAGCGTCATCTTTCTTCCGTTGTGCTGTTTTAACAGTTCATTTATCAAAACGTTCAGGACATTCCTGTTATTTTTAGCAACTGTGCAGTATGTTTGAAATATTACCCTTTTTTGACCATTGAAAATAAAAGAGCCCCATTTAAATCTTGTAAAACCTAATTTCTGCACTTTTATGCTAATAAAATCCCTGTTAATGCTAATTCTACCCAGCTTCTTGCTAATATTTTACCTGCTAATGCTAATTTTGCACAGTTAATGCCATTTCAGCCCCGGTAACACAAATTCTGCTGCTTTTTTGCTAATAGTGTTGATCAGGGATGACGTCACGAGAACTGTGGGGAAAGCTCAAATTCCCAGATGTCGGACAAACAACTGCAAACCATTTCAAAGATTTTGTCCATGTAAAGTTAAAGACGACGTCCCGGAGCCAAAATCAACTTGTAGTGTATTGAAAGATATAATTATACGCTGCTCAAGCCAAAGCAGGGGACTAGCAGCGCTCTGTTGGCATTTATTTAGCGTAATCTTGTCTTCTAATAGTTTTTCACTTCTTTTGCTTCTTAGCTAGCGTTTCTCTGATTACTGCTAACTTTTAGCCACTTCTTGCTTCCTTTAGCTTCATCTTATCAGTTATTGATGTCTTTCAAGAAAGCTTTAGCTTCTTTTTGAGCAGCTTTCAGCAAAATCATCCCATAATAAGTGTTACCACTGCATATTTGCAGGAAATGCAATATTATCTGGATATTATCATTCTTGTTTAATGGCTTTGGAGTTTTTGCACATTTAAAAAAACATGCAATCAAGCTAAAATGCAGATGAAAAGCTAAACAGAAATCTAAATGAACTCATAAACAAAAACTTTCTAAAACAAAAGGGTCTTGTTTTTTGTTTTTCTGTGAATGTGCTTGTATTTTCTGTATCATTGCTCTATTGTTTGTTTTGTTTGTCAGCCAACAGGAGAAGTCTCAGCACACATCCTTGCGGAACACCAGTGTTTAGAGTGATAGTGAAGGATGTGTGTTTCCCCAGACTGAGGGCGGTTGGTCTGAAAGTTCAGGGTCCCGTTGTGGTTGTGGAGTTTAG